CTGGTTTGCGGCTTCTCCGGGGCTCCGGTGCTTAGGCTGCTTCTCATCGTACTCAGCGCTGAGCACGTCGCACGAGCCAGCCTCAGGTCACGCGGCATCGTGCAAGCGAAGAGGAATGATCCTGGGGGCGAGGCAAAAAAAAATAAAATAACCCTCCTGATCCTTCCCCAACTTATCCCTACTGTTTTTATTACTTGTGAAAAATTCACATTCCAACATGAGAAAATGTGCATTAACAGCAAAAAGCCTGACGCCTCCAGTTCCCAGGGATACCAGCACGACCCTCCAATTGCTAGACACGACATTGCCCTCGCATTTGTTTCCAAAAAAGATACTTAAAGTCCTTTGCTTTGTTATATAACTGAGGTCTGAAAACATTTATGTTAATTAGTACATAACTGGTACTGTCTGATTCAAAATCCTCGCATTACTGCTACACTTCAGGACAAACCTGCTTTCTTAGTAGTTCTGGAAGATTTGTAAATGGGATCTATTTGGCAGTAACATTTTCCTTGTTCAGGCTCTGTTAGTACTGCTGTAGCAAAGAGGCAATATGTTTTTCCCACAAACGGGAGACTGATTGAGAGGTTTGTTTACGGCATAAATTCAGTTCTCCTACATAGAGCCTCCTTTTATTTAATGATGTGGCCTTCACTTCTGTCCATCCCCCCCCCCCCCCCCAAAAAAGATAGTACCAGCAAAACTGTTGATGAATTGAAGGTTAAAAGGAAAAGTAATGAATGAAAAAATGCAGTTAAAAAAAGCCCCGTCCACTTAGCGCTGGAGCCTGGAGGAAGCTCTCCAAAGAGAGAAGGTTGTGGGGGTGTAATCGCGCTGAAAGTGTTCACCACCAGAGTGAAACAGGCTAAAAAAAAATAAAATGAAAAAAAAAGTCCCAGGACTGGCCGAGAAGAGACAGGATTGAGAAAGAATGCTGAGGAACATTAGCTGTTTGCCGCTTTTGCGGACAGCTGGGGAATGAACGGATCTGAACTGGAGATCAGAACTTCCATCATTCCACCACCGATTAATAAAAGCAGAGCAGAGACCTGGGGCTGGGGCAAGGGGCCTGTCATCTCCAGCATTTCTTGTAGCCTGGGAGGACTCCTCGTGAAAAACCCTGGGTGACAGAGAGCTCTCAGCTACCATCACTCTGCCACCTCTGGCTGATGAGTTGGATCGTGCTTTGGAATGATGAAGACGAGAAGAGAGCTTCATAAATGGCTTCTTACTGAGAACTAGAGGTTTCGCATGAGCCTCTCACTTACATTAAATGAATGCACATAAACTGTAAACACATGCAAATGTTTACCACCTCTCAAGGATTTGTCCGGGAACAAGGAAGTAGCTGGTGCCCAGACTTGCAAAGGAAGATGCGTGTAATTAGGGTCTGGTAATGTGGCGAGGTTCCCGTGCCGCTTTCGGATAATTAGTCGGGCCCTGTAGTCGGGGAAACGACAGCGGTGTCTTCATTTCGCACTCTGAGCAAATACAAACATCAACAGGCGTGAGTGTGACACACGGGGAGAGTTAGCCAGCCCACCGCACGCCAAATGGCTGTGGGATAAAAATGACTGCAGCACGTTTGGGCCGAACGGGGCATCAGGTTTGGGATGCGAACAAGAAGGTACATGCTTCAAATGAATAGAGCCGTTCTCTTCGCATGAAACAGGGATTTGCATGAAGGACCTGGCAAAGGAGCAGCCTTTTAAAGTATTAACCTTAGGAAAAGTGCACGACTCAGCATAAGCTACATATGAGTTAATTGCCCAAAATAAGATGCAGAGCCTGCCATCTAGTGGTGAAACTGTACTAAATCATAGTGCAAGCATTATTCTACCATTGCTTGTCGATGACAAAACATTCATCTCCTGAACAACGTAATTAATATGTAACTTTTCAGTTTCCATACATAGATTTTCCATCCTGCTTTATCTGTAGTGCAAAGAAAGACAAATTAGTAAAGTACATAAGGAATTTTGCCAATTTGCTGTGAATGCACTGCAGCCATCCTGGATTAGCAGGGGGAAACTTCAATAAAACATCATGGTTTTCAGAGCACAGTGCCCCATCAATTCACACACACACACACACACACACACACACACAAAACTGGCCAATCAACTGAAAGAAACATGAAATGGCACCATATTTCTCCTGCTTCCCGAAACTGCAGCGGCAGACAGTTGTGCCAGAGGAAACAGAGCCTTACGAAGGCAGAGCCGAGCTCAGAATACCGTAATCCTTCCTGCTCCGTATCAGAGCCGTTCGGCCCTGGTCATATTTCTGCCGCTCTGTGGAGATGAGCACAGCATCAACCCTCTGAAACCCAGATCCAAGGCTCCCTCACACCTCTCCTCTGCTGTGGCATGCATTTATTTACAGATTCAGATAAATTATGCTTCTCCTCCCAGGGTTTTCACTCACACGGGGCAGCCCTGGAGGTAACAAGAGCAGCGAACAGCACTGCTTATTCTGGAAAAGAAAGATACAAATGTCCAGATAGTCTCAGTCAGCATGGAAAGATCAGGCAGATCAGATTTGTCAAAAAAAAAACTGAAAGTGCTTTGGAATGTCCAACAACATCAGATATTTTGTGGGTTTATTTATAGGCATGGCGCCTCAGTGGGCTGTATCGCTTCACAGCTGCAGGGTTGAGGATTGAGATCCCACCTCTGTGTGCATGTTGCCCTTCTGTTACACAGGTTTCCACAGGGAATTCTGGTTTCCTCTTGCAGGTAAAAGATATGCAATTAGGCCTCTCTAAATTGCCCATAGAGTGTGAGTGTGCACATGACCTGTGCAGGACTGGCCTGATCCTGTCCTGGCCGCAGAGGTGGGCAGTTCAAGCTCACAGATTAAAAATCCAGACCAAGATTTAGTTTTGACCAATCAGATGAACATAAAGAGCCATAGATGCCGAGAATTCAACTGGTTGATTGAAACAAAGCCTTGGTATGGATTTTACTGTTTGGACCTGAAATATCCATCTCTGCCTGGCAGTGCCCAGCGCTGCCTGGGATAAGCTCCAGGGCCTGTGCCCAAGGCTGCACAGAGATTTATTAAGAGGCAGGCGCTGAACCAGTAAAATTTGCCAATCTTGGTAAAATTCAGGACACAGAAGGGAGGAACTTTCCGTCGTGCCAAAGGGGCAAACGGTCAGGCGCCCCCCCCCCCCCCCCCTCTGCATAGCTCTGCCAATGATCCGGATTTGAATATGAAATTTTATCAATCTGCATTTACAAACTTGTTTTCATGTAAGTTCTCGGTAAATTGTTGCAACCTTTGCATGATTGTCTGTTATCAAAAGGGGCACTTAATTAAACTGATGGACCTGGACAGTGGGGTTCTCAGTACAATTTGCATGCTGGGGGGGGACAAAGGAGGTCCCCCTTGGTAAATTTTGCAGTTGGCCCCCTTTTCCACAAAGTCATATGCGATGCATCACATTTAAGCAGCGAATAGAAATCTTAAGTTTTTTTTGTGAGTGAATAGCTTTCAGAAGGAGGGTTAAGCTTCATTTACGCTGTAATCCAAACATTAAGCAAAGTAAATGGCACATACTCCGCAACACATTTCCTAATACTTGCTGCTTCCAACGTGATGCTTATTGCTGAAACAAGGCCAGCGTGACCCAAGCCCTTCAGGTGACAGTAACCTCCTTGGAAAGTGGGTCAGTCCAAAGCTGGCACGCGGTAAGTATAGTCGGAGCAAATTCAATAAAATTCACTGAACTTTGTCTTCTGCGGGGTGCAAGCTTACTCCTCAAGGCCTGGCCCACAGGCATCACCTTCACGGGATGTGACCAGCTGGCACAAAAGCATCGCGGGCGCCTTGCACATGTTGGAAGTGAGTGAGTAATCCCTGCAGGACCTGCCTGGGCAGTGAAGCCGTTTGGCCCAACTGTTAAAAAATATAGCTACCAAAACACATTAATAAAAGCAGAGCACTGAATGAACGATGTATTTCAGGCATGAGATAAGTTTTATGCCGTTTCATTTCCACAAATACATCGGAAAGGTTTACTCTGGATGTAGTTTTTGCTGAAGCAGAGAAATAAAGCTTATCTGTCATTTGTAAAATATACTATGTGTTTAGTGCAATGAGGGGGCTGCATGACAGGAATTGCAGGCTTGTAGTTCTAACTTAAATAGACCGTGTATAACCTAAAAACGAAGTTGCTAACTTTTTTTTTTTTACCCCCAGCGAACTAACTTGTATTTGTGAATGGCTTGCACTTCCCGTCGGTGCGAAATGAGTATAATTTGCTCAGTCTAAGATAGTGGCACCGTTTTCCGGGGCATAACCACAAGCTGTTGGTGTTGGATGGCCGCACTGGCACAGGCGAACCGGGTGAACCGAGACCGCCAAATGTCGGGCTTCGTATATGCGCGCTAGCCTAAGTAGGCAAGTCCGAGTCACGAAGGAACTGCGGAAATAATTAGATCCCTACTCTTCGCTTAAATGGAACGATGCCTTTTAGGGTCAGGAAGCAAAGCAGGTTGATAGTGCTTAACCTTTAACTCACACCTTTTCAAGACAAATCAGAGCACAGACTGACGCTTAACTCCTAGAAACATCTCGTAATTTTGTTGCATAAATCGTAACATGCACCTCAGGGGAAACGCGTAATATTTGTTTATTGTTCCTCATGTGGTTTGGGGAGAAATTTATATAATACAGTGTTTATCACCTCATTAAGATTATTGTTTTCTCTGTAACTACTGCTTATTCTAACCAATAGTAATTATAATAGTAAATAGTTTTTTTTCCCCATTATTGGGCATAAATGGTACAATTGAATATCATTCTTGAACTGTTAAATGCAACTCTTATATTTTACAACCATTATTTAAGTGATAAATAGTGGAGCCCTACAGGAATAGACGCGCATTTCGCATAATCTTACCCGAGTATGAAGTACATATTTTTGCCAATAGATGGAGCAACGACGTAAAATTTCTTGGATGAATACTTTTTTGTAGTTTTCGTTGGGTTACATCATATTTAATGCTTTATTTGATACTTAAAAGACAATTTATAAATGGTTGTAGACTAGGTGATAATCTTGCTTAAATAACAGCCCTCAGTCAGAAACGCCGATGTCGCAGCACTCCTTGAGCTTTAAGGACCTGACGGGCCACCGTCGGCGTAGTAAACATGGCGGACAGCGATACGGAGGATTTCGTGACTTATGGAACCCCTTTAGACCCAATCGAAGAAGGTAGCGCTATTTTAAAGTTCACTTTCTGACATTGAAGCTATATGTCGAGAAGCTTAATTATTGTTTTATTTGGCTTGCATTTTTGGACGGGCTTTCCTGACACGGGGTGTAGCACAAGGGAAGATATAGCAGCTAGCTCCCTGTTCGGGATGCAGCTATCAGAATGAACACTTTCCCTACGATAGCTAGGTTACACAGACTTAAAGATAAGAAAATAAAACTTGACCATAACTGATTGAAATTACTTGCTCACTGTTTTGGAATCCTAACCGTTCTAGGTATTGTTTTTTCATGCGTCCGAGTTAGCCTCTTTAACTGGCTAAATGTTTGCATGGTTTGCTGAAGTAGTTTACAGCTATAAGAGTTTCTGTAAGAATTTGAACAGTTTGGAAACAAACATCTTTTCCATCTCAGAGTGTTCACCCTGGTTATACCTGTGTTTTCATTCCCTCTGTAGATGAGCCACTTAAAAAGCCAGTACCTCTCCATGATCAGACAGTCAAAGATGAAAAGGGGCGATTCAAGAGATTCCATGGCGCTTTCACTGGGGGATTTTCAGCAGGTTATTTTAATACTGTGGGATCCAAAGAAGGTATGTGACGATCTTGTGAATTATCTCTTTAATAGCTCTAGGGAAATAATTTTGGGTGACCTTTGTTTAACGGTGGCTGTGTTGTGGTTTTCCAGGATGGGCACCCTCAACATTTGTATCATCTCGACAACAAAAAGCCGGGAAAGTTAATTCCAGGCCAGAGGATTTCATGGATGATGAGGTAATCGCTTTGATACAAGGTTATGAAGATACACGTGTCATCAGTCTTTGTTCATGTAGCACTGTTTTAACTGCATGGTTTATAAAATGTTTTACAGACTTTTGAAAGAAAAGAATTAAAATGAGCATAAGAAAAACAATAAGCTCAGAAAAAAATGGCATCAATTTCAAAATAATAATAATAATAATAATACTACCAAAAACGCAGGACTTTAATCACCCACGTTCTCGGTAGGGGACTCTAGCCTCTACCTCACTGGGGACTGTAGCCCCTGCCTCAGAGGAGACTGTAGCCTCTACCTCACTGGGGACTGTAGCCCCTGCCTCAGAGGAGACTGTAGCCTCTACCTCACTGGGGACTGTAGCCCCTGCCTCAGAGGAGACTGTAGCCTCTACCTCACAGCCATGTTAGTTAACAAGGATAAACAAATTTGTGTTTGACTCATTGGTTGTGGGAGATGATGGTGTTATACCCATAATAGGTTGTATTCTATCCCCCATGCAATTGAGAAAAAGGAATCAACATACGTTTTATACATTTTCTGTGAGTTACGTCGCTGCACATGATCACCAGATGTTCCTTATTGTTGTTTCTTGTTGCTTGGCCTGCAGTCTTCCTTGGTCATTCACTCCCTATTTTCCCTTATCTTGTGCAAAGAGTTCTCCTGCTCTCATTATTTCTGACAACTTGCAGGCACTTACTCAGCGTAAAACGACATCTTCTTACAAGATATAATGTTATACAATCAATTTCTTCATCAATTTTATAACTAAATGATTCATTAGCACTGAGTCTAGGTATATTGCATATGCTCCCTAATCCAGCAAAGCAAGAGTTAATCTTACATTTCTTGTTCTGTTCTACACAGACTAGGGGCCGCATTCCCCTCCCAACAGGGAGGATAACTCAGGATCATGCTATAGCACACCAGGATACATTGTTCTCTTATCTGCAGCACATATGCAGCACAGTACATAGTCACATTCACGGTGAACAAGGCCTAAGGCACTGACAGCAATCCCAGCAGCCCTCAGCTCTTTTTATTTCATAGGAGTGCCAGACTCATTTCAATTTTGCTTCCACTTCCGCATTGAAAGGGACATGACTGGAATCATTCTATGTGTTTATTGTGTTTTTTTTGTCTTTTTTAAGCATGAAAACAAAAATGACACTTCAGCGGTTTGTGAAGTATATGCTTCCTGTTTGTGCTGATGGCTTGTTTCTAGTTGCCCTGTATATGATCCTAACAATGTCTGCTGATTGAATAAATCTAAATGTATACTACTGTAACCTAGTTAACCACGGTGGCATAACATTAGTAGTTTCTGCAGTAATGCAAGGACAGTGAATGAGCCTGTGTTGGAATGAGGGGATTTTGGCATTACATGGAGTGAGAGAGCAGTAGAAGGGCAATAAGGGCTACAGACAATGTGCTGAATAAGCCTGACCTGTGACCCCATAGCCTGACTCTGCTCATCTTCACCTCAGTGGGGTTTATTTAGCATTGCATAGGCGGCCTTGCACAATTATTCCATTTTCTGAAGTGTTTACAGTCAGACCCCAATCAAATCAAACAAAATCCTTTCTAAAAGCAAAGTTGTGCATCTGGGAATCTGAATGAGCTAAACCTGACAGCACTTTTTACATTGAACTGTTTTTAATTCTCTACTTAATTGAAGTACCTTTTGAAGCTCTCGGTGAATCAGTGGTTTGCGGAAACCAGGCAAATATCCTGGGCTGTGGTCCATGTGTACGTTTTAATTAATATTCTTTAGATCTTCTTCCAATAACTTGTCTCATTCATAATTGATTGCCAGGACTTTAGTGAGCATGGAATAGCACCCAGAGAAATCACCACTACTGAAGACTTTACCTCAGGCCGTCAGGACACAATTAGGGACAAGGCCCGAGCTCTGAACTCTCTGGTTGCTCCCATTCCTGGAGACACTGTCTTGGAAGATCTCATTGCACCAGCCAGGTGAGATGTTCCATTATGCATTTTGCTTGAATTCAAAACCCCATTTCAGTTTGCATATGTGCATGCAGTATCACAGTTAACCTCCTGACCGTCTTTAATTAAATTTCTTTGTTTAATAATAGTTGATGGCTGGTCAGTATATGTGTAGTAAAGGTGCTGACCTGTTCTCCGTGTGGTCTTTGTCTGTCAGGACATCAGTGGGTGTCGAGATGCTGAAGAAAATGGGCTGGAAGGAGGGGCAAGGCATCGGACCGCGAGCAAAGCGGAAACCTCGAAAGCAGAACGTCGGTGGGTCACCGGCACCCTCCAGAAATTGCTGGATCCAAATGACCCACCTATAGCCTGTGTTATTCCCCACAGCGCACATGCTAATTTTGTCTGATTTTGCGTACCTCTGGGTTTTCACCTTTAATCAGCCTACAGCTACAGCTGTAGTAACACAGGTTCCGTTTCTCAGCAGAGGCCGGGACACGGATTTACTCCTGTGCTCTTCCACCGAACGGTTCAGAGGAATCAGAGGTAACCCTAACCTAGCAATCCTGTTTTAGCTTCCTGTTCTTATGGATGGATGGATGTCAGTAGAAGTGTAGCTTTATTTTTCCCCGTGGGAAAATTGTTACCTCATCTTGCTCTCCGTGAGATACGCAGACATTTATAGAGAAGTGTGGGGATCACAGCGGCCAGCCCTCATGCACTGGGGAAACTGGGAATAAGGGCCGTTCTCTGCACCCCAATGGTGGCATCGCTCTGCCAGCCAAGGGAAATGAATTTTGAGTCCTAACCTGCAGAGCCACGTATCGCCCATAAATGCCGATTCCACCTTATTTACATATTCACAAGGGCTAAAGGCTTTTAAGGCACCTGTCCAGCTCAGACACATGCAACACAATTTTATTAGTAGTATTATCATGCATACACTGTGAACAAAAAAATTAATTAATATTACTGTATATCACACTATTCATGATCCTGGCCAGGAGAAACAGCTGGAAGAGGCATGAATGTATGACCCAGTGCTTATGTGTTAAGTAAATACTTTTGTGTATGCCATGCGTATATTAAATCCTTTTGTCTTTGACAGGAAGAGGAGGATGAGTACACTCCTGAAAATGTGACCTTTGCCCCGAAAGATGTCATGCCCATTGACTTCACGCCTAAAGACGACCCCCATGGCCTGGGCTATCGGGGCCTCGACCCCCATCAAGCCCTGACAGGCTTACCAGGAATGGGGCACATTGACCTCTTCACCTTGGACTCTGACCGGACCAGTAACCTCCTGGGAACCGGTGGGCCGAAGCACCGGCGGAAGGGAGGCATATCAGGAGAGGTATGGCTGAAGACCCATCGCTGGAGCTTCTGGTGCATCAGTACTGCTCACTGACGTCGAGGTCGTGAAAGTAATCAGTTATTCGCTTTCGAAAGTACTTCTGTAATTCATGGAACTGCTTTATCATTAATGATGCCTGTGTCATTACTGAAGATTTTGTAAGCAAGCGGTTCCTTACGGTTCCCTGGTGGCTTAGAAGTCAGACTTAATGTAGCTTCCGGATGGAGTTCTGGGTGGAGCAGCCAGCAGGAGAACACAGTTAATGTGCTGTCACAGGCGATAGTCTCGCGGATGAGCCACTGTGTCGCTGTACTTAGCAGCCTAATGTGGGCTCTGTTCGTAGGCGTTTGGAGTGGGGGCGCTGGAAGATGCCGACGCTGACATCTATGACAGAGACGCACTTTCCAATTACGACTCGGTTCTGGGGGGAGAGGAGCCGGGCGACGGGCTCTTTGGCTGGACGGCTCCAGCGCAGTACAACAAGAAGACGAAAGGTGCCAGCTCTCAATCTCAGGCTCATCTTGACCCACAGCATCAGTCGCTGTGTGGATGGGTATCTGCTCTGAAGAATTCATCCTTTAGCTCCCGTGTGTCTCTAGTTTTGTTGCATCAAGCGCTGTTATATTTGGGAATCCTCTATCATCATGCACACAATCTGTTCCTTGTAGAACGCTTATGGGGAAACTTCAGTTTATTTATCAAATGTGCAACAATACAACAGACAGCAGTAGATGCAGGCAATATACGTGATGGTAATGCTTAATAGAAGTAATAAGATTTATAAAAGTATAAGTATAACTAACAGCCTGATCCGCTATTGAGAGGCCTCACTGCTTGCCGGAACCCACTGTCCGTGAGCTGACACGCCGATGCGGATTCCCTGATGGCAGGAGTTTGTCTGTGATGGTTGCAGTGTTTGACGGTGGACCTGGCTATCTTGAGGCTTTTAGTTGTAATATTATAATATACAGCTGGTTTCAGAACTCGTGCCTTTTTTCATATAGCACTCAAGATTTACCCTAAGGCACAAAACTCTCTCCATTTTTAATCCATGGATAGATAGTTCAGCATCTGGCCAGAGGGTGACAGCCGTCTGTCCGTGCAGATGTCCGCCTGCTTAAACAGTTCATTGTCCTGCACTTTGTGTGCTTTACTGCAAGGCTTTATTTTTTACAGCTAACAGTAATGACCAGTTTAACTTGTTGTGGAAGATTCTACTGAGATTGTTATGAGGGAGTGGGCATCGATGATGAAGTCCAGCAAATGTTAAAAAATATCTCAGCAGATGACAGAGAATGATATTTGAGAAATGACTCATTTTGACCAGGCTTCGCAAGCCAGTGCCTATGAGGAAGATTAGGTTCATCAGCCGACATGAACAGAATCTCTTTTTACTGCTAAAAATAATCAGGACCATGAGACGCGGTGGAAGAACGCATTGTGCATTTTGTATTACTGTAACACTGGTTCATTTTAGAAAATTAAGTAACATACGTGTGTGTGTATGTATGTATGTGTGTGTGTGTATGATTATATATAGCCATAACTCAAAATATACTGTAGCCAAATGCAACTTATCTACCAATAAAGTGTGTGAAATAAGTCGGTGTTGCCCTGAGTTGTCTCAACAGACACAAAGTACGACTGACAAACGCGATGTGATTAGAAAACTTGCTTAAAATGATTGATGTGTTAATTGTATCTTCTCTCCTGTTTTTCTGCTTGCTTACCAGGATCTAGCAGGGATGCGTCATACCTGGGCAAAATCCTGGAGGGCTTTACGTTGGCTTCCCAGGCCTCTGAGATTAAGACAGTAGGTGGCTCCTCCCATTCAATATAAATCGAGATTACCGTGTCGATATGATTGGTTGACCTCTCTGCACCTTCTAAACCCTCCCCAGATATTTCCTCCTCCAGAGCTTCCCCGGAACTACAGGCCAGTGCACTATTTTCGCCCAGTGGTGGATCTGGCCAGCACCAGCCCGATGGTAGCCCAGGTTCTCATGGAGTCAAAGGGCCACATGCCCCAGCAGACCCAGGAGAAAGGGCGGCACCAGCTGGATGCCTCACAGAGGAGAGACCTGCTGGGGGAGTCCTCTCTGACAGGTGCCAACACTCTCCTGCCTTTTTCGCTTGTGGGATTCATCCATGGCCATGCTGGGAATCATCACTCTCCCTCTTGCTCAGAAACGCGGTGGCAGTTATGTGTCTATAAGATTATACACCAGTACTGTTAGCATCAGTATTAAAGCAGAACTCCAACAATGTGAAGACGTCCCAATTCCCTCCACCTTTAACATTCCTTAGAAATATTCCAGGCAGGATGACATTGGAACACTGGCAGTCCGCTGGTCAAAACTGGTATTTTATTGACACCTTTACCAAAAAATTAAATATTATAATGTTATGAAAACCGAAATGTCAACATGAAAGATGGTGGTGTCCTCGTATGCTCTCTGCTCACTGAGAAGAGAAACAAGGATTCTGTTCATTCGCATCCAGGACCAACTGCCCCTCTGTCTCCTGTTGCCTGTGTTTGAAGGCTCTGCCTTAATGAGTCCCATAGAGGCCGCTGTGCCTGATCAGAACAAGCTCTGACTCTTGAACTCAGCTGTCAGCTGGATCAGCGAATCTCCTTGTAGCCGCCCTGAGCTTCAGATGCTGGGGGTGTCCTCGGGTCAGGTCACATGACATCGTCTCCGCAAGCGGGTCTCCCGGCATGTGTTGCATTGTCTTCTGATGATCACTAGGTTTCAAAACATTCATTTATACAAAAGAGATTTATCCCCTTGGGTTCTTGATCCTTTCTCATGAGTCCTTGCTGTTGTGAAACAGTGAATGTTTTCTGTTGTGTATCTGAGTCACCCTGCAGTCAGGACAAAGTGATAAAATTATAGAATTCACTGGAATTTCCCCTTAATTGAAATGTAGGTGAACTGGCCAGGAAGCGGAGCATGGAAATTCTGTTTTTTCCTGAGTTTATGCGATGTTTTGCCAGGCATATATGCTTTGGTGGACTCTGGGTTTCTTACAGTGACATTTAACCAAACCGTTAGCTTAGTGTGAGCTCTGAGCTGGCTGGCGACGTCAATGCCGCTCGTCCACATGGCCCATCCTTCTCTCGGGGCTCGGGAGTCAGGAATGAGGGTGATCTTTCTCCCCCCGCCGGGCACCTTCCATCCACGAGGGTCCTGCCAATTTGCACGCCAGCCTGGACCCCCGAGGCCCCTGTTGTGAAGCAGCCCTCCCTTCATGCCGCTCCTGCTTCTTCAACAGCAGCTACTGGGCCATGAATCAAGTCCCAGATGTCCGCTAGCTTCACAGCATGGACAAATATTTGTAATGGCAAATGGGGAACATGCAGTCCCAAATGTAATCTGAAGTATAGTGATGCTTTATTAATCCCCATGGGGAAATTTTTTCCCCCCCACTTACTTCATCTTGTTCTCTATGGGACACGCGGCCACATATACAGGTAAGCGTAAGCTTGCTGGTCACAGGCAAAGAGACTTGTTGAGACCGTCTGTTGTGGACCATCACCTTTGAAAGTTTCCCAGTTGAGGACCTGAATGAGTTACTAGATGGTTGACTGGTTTCTCTGACTGCTTTGCTCATTAAACAGGGTGATTAATATGATTTACTAAAGAAAAAATGTCCCCGCTGTATAAAACGGCAAACCATACAGGCATATTTTTTGCGTGGATAATAGGCTGGCGTAAACGCTCGTGTTGAGTATGAACCTGTTGTTTCAAGCTTCCTGTGGCACACAAAGAGAAAATGAAATAAAATGTTACACTCCCAGTTCAGTGGTGGAAATCTAAAGCTGTTCTTGCTAAGAGATAAACTCACTCTCCCCTGGAGAGGAGATGACAGCCCTCTCGAAGATCTGGCGCTGTCCATTAGATAACACAAGGGATGTTCTAATCTTATCTCATAGCCACTCTCCTTGGCAGCGTAGCTGTAGGGACACGAGGCCATTTGAGCCTACAGCCCCCTTCACATCTCTGATAAAATGACAAATGAGTTTTACTTGAGTTTTTAGAAACGTCAAAGCGTCACGTGCCGCGTGATGTAACAGAGTGACATCATCACAGTCAGCAGTGCAGTGGGTGGGGAGGAAGGCTTCTGCTTGAGTGACCAACCAGGGAAAATGGGAAGTTTTTGAAGTTGCTCTGGATCAAAGCTGCTGTGTGTCATTCTCCACACTGACTGCTGCAGTGAAGTGCAGTAAAAGTCCTCAGTCCGACAGTTTCGGGACCACGGTACTGCCACGTAGTTCAGTGTAATTCCGCAATAATTCTGTATTTATCACACATCTTACATGTACTTGAATCCTTTTATAAACGCACATTAATGATGTTGGATATTTGATACAGCACGAGGTCAAGGTGAATGATGGTAGGGCAAAGACTACTAAAGCCTGCCATTCCATAGGCATACACACGAGTGGACATGTATGTTGCACAATGCTTTTCTTTGTTATTTTTAGGTATTTTAGTGTAAATCTTTAATAGGCTGCTGCTATTATTATAAATTTTAAATTTTTCTACTTGCATTGTGATGGGTGTGCACTTCTCCGGGGTTGTTCACTGCCTTGTGCCTGTGTCTTCCAGGATAGACTCCAGATCCGCATGACTGCATAGGACAGGCGGGGATGGATGGATGGATGGATAGAAGGAATTTCTGTACTGATATTTTAGAAATTTGTTGGATAATTGGCGATACAAACAGCTTTTCCTGTATCTCTGGTGTCCCGGTCTGTAGGTCCAGCCTCAGTGTTTGACCTGCTGGATAATAAGGACAAGGAGCGACTGGAAGGCATCCGGCGGCTGGCTGGGGTCGGCGCATCGGGGGCCATGACAGAGGAGCGCCGGGCGGCCGTTGTGGCAGCTGGGGTGGCCGCCGCCGCCGCCAAGGCGTCCCAGAGCGCCCTCTCCAGCCTCCCCCAGACGCCCGGCTCCGAGGAGGTGCTCAGTGCCTGGCGTAGCCCCACGGCCGACACCTCCTGCTCCTTCAGACCCTTCGAGAAGAATCCGCCGAAGCAGGCGCGCTACGACCAATACATCAGCAAGCTGAAACAGGGTCACAAAGGTGCTTAATCTGTGCGTGACGCACAGCGGAAACGCTGCCAGGGAGCTTTCTGTCTGAGTAATTACTGCAATTAATCAGTTAATAAATGTTAAGGCAAAAAGGCTCAGGCTGGCTTGCCCAGCAGCTGTTGCTTACTGCCGATCCTGAGGGCTGAGGTCGGCGAGAAGCTGAGGTGTTCCAGCACATGAGAGCTGTAGCGTTTTTGCACTGGTTTCTAAAAGCCAGCTGACACCGAGGGCTAACAAGTCACAGCGCCCCTGTTTCCTGGTTTGGTCCAGATGCCTTGGAGTCCAGCCTGGACGGCAGCATGACGGAATGGGAGCGAGGCCGTGAGAGGGACGAGTTCGTGAGGGCCGCCATGCTCTACAAGCCCAGCAGCTCCAGCCTGTCCTCCAGGTTCACCAGGGCCAAGCACGAGGACAACGAGGACATGGTGGAGGTGGCCCAGGAGCAGGAGGTAGGGCCACAACCCCCCAGCCCATGCAGGAAAGGTCACTTTCTGGGCAGCCTTGACTATAGCTCTCTCTCTCTCTCTCTCTCTCTCCCTCCCCTCTGCTGCTCATCTCATCCCAGGGCGATGTGAATGACAAGCAGTCAGCGGTCAAAATGAAAATGTTCGGAAAGCTGACAAGGGACACCTTTGAGTGGCATCCCGACAAGCTACTCTGCAAGAGATTCAACATTCCTGACCCCTACCCGGGGTACGCACCATGGGCGCCCCCGTGGGCCTCGCCGGTAGCTATGGCGACATTGAAGGCAGTGCACAAGAGCTTGTCCTTTCTGTTCGACCCCCAGGTCTGGCTTAGTGGGATTACCCAAGGTCAAGAAGGACAAGTATTCTGTGTTCAACTTCCTGACCCTGACAGACAGCAGACCGGAGTCCGGGGGGCCAATGGGGGCCCAGAGTCAGCCTGACTCGTCACCTTTAGCCGGTATGTCCCTCCCCCAGGCAGACTTAAATACACCAGCTTTAACTCACTCTTTCTTACCTTCTGCCTTAAGTCCATTTCATTGATGATTTCAGGAGGCTCATGAGTGTTTTACTTACACAAAAATGTTCTGAGGGCAGAAGGAAAAATGATCAGAGAGAGAATCCGATTGTAGAAGAGGTGGGTTCAAGCAACTAGAGGAGGTGGGACCAACCAATCAGATGTCTTGGTCCCGCCTTCAGTCTTCAGTCTGATTGGTTATCTCTCTGACCCAATCATTTTTCCTTCTGCCTGCTGAAATCATCGACGTAACGGGTAAGAAAGAGAAGTTAAACTCCCGTGAGCTTTCAGCAAGCAGATTTTCAACAGGCCTTTATGACGTCATGCATTTAACAGCATAGGGTGTGTCGTTCCCCCCCCCCACGTTTGAATAACACACATTTCCCTTGTATCTGAGCATTGGACACTTCCCTGTCTTCGCACTTGTCTTGTTAGGCCCACCAAAGAGGGCGGAGCCAGGAAAGAAGTCCAGGTGGGACATGTCGGAACGTGCGGGCCAGCCGAAGGACGCCCTCAGCGAGTTCCTCAGCGAGGCACGCAGTGAGGCTTCCACATCACAGCAGCCCGCCAGCAGCCAGCCAGCCCCCGCCCCCTCCCTGACCCCAGAGCCCCCAGCACTGTCCCAGGTGCTGCGCTGATCCGCCTCACACACACTTCACATTGTGCCCAGCGCTCCGACATCCTGCACTCCGTAACCCTGATGAGATTATCATCTAGAAAGTACTACCCTGATCCTGGAGTGCTGGTATTCATCAGGTTTTCTGTCCTACCTGCTGAGTTTCTATCTGCCTGAGATCAGATGCGGTTCATCAGATACCAGGTAGGATGGAAAACCTGCTGGGTATCGGCACTCCGGGATCAGGACTGCCTGCCCTTTCTATAGTGTAATAAAATTTACAGTCACTAAACTTTTTAAAGCTGCAGAAATATTTGAACACATCATTCAGTCATGTGCAATATCTGAAAGGATAAATCTTAATTCCTTAATATAAAAATACCAATAATGTACTTAAATTTCATTTTATAGAACTTAAAAGCAATAATGAACCATTTAATCTGAAATGTGTTGTCCTTAATTCTTTATCTTTAATATTACTATTATAAAACACACTTCAGTGTCCCAGGTAATGTGTAGTAGTTGTTTTGATATTTTAAATGGTGAGATTGTCTTGAAAGGTAGATGCAGCAGGTGTGTAGATGCAGCAGGTGTGTAGATGCAGCAGATGTTCTCTGTCTCAGTTGCCACCGGAAACACAGCAGCTCCAAGAGGAGGAAGAGGAGAGCAGGCCTCCCATGGACCTCTTCAAAGCCATTTTCGCCAGCTCATCAGATGAGAAGTCTTCATCATCGTCAGAAGACAACAGTGAGGAAGAGGATGATGAAGATGGCCACCGGCAGATGGAGCTTCAGCCACCTGGGCCACTCAACACTGGAATGGACCCATCAGCACTACCAGTCCCAAGTTCAGCTGCTCCAGGTGCTGCTCCAGGTGCTGCTCCAGGTGCTGCTCCAGGTGCTGCTCCAGGTGCTGCTCCAGGTGCTGCTCCAGGCGCTGCTCCAGGTGCTGCTCCAGGCGCTGCTCCAGGTGCTGCCCCAGGTGAAACTGCTATAGATGGCAGCCCCCCCCCCCATGCACAGTAAAATGTAGCTGCAGCCTCAAGGCTAATGGCTGTGCCTGTTGTTAAAATGGACATTTTTGCTGGTTTGCTTGGTCTTTCAGAAGCAAAACCTCCCCCAGAACAGCCCAAGCTGCCCGCTGCCCCTTCTAAGGAACAGAGACAGGAAGAGGAAGAGTTTGGGCCAAAGCTGCCGCCCCCAACATCTTCATGTCAGTTGTGTTTATCAACAAAACCTTGACATTCATGAGCCAGTAAACAGTTCAGTCCACACATTCCTGATTAATTGCATCCCCTTCTGTAGCCTGATCAGATGAGTACTGAAGATCAGCTAATGACAAATGATGGTGAAGAAAATTTAATAAAGTAAATCTTCAGATTCAGTATTATAGCTTCGAGCCCAGTTCTGTTCTCAAAGGTGTCAAAGGCCGTAACGCATCCAGTATTTATATTTTGATGAACCGTGTATCTCTTGTTTCAATTTCATAAAAGGAATCGCATTTTAATCTCACAGGGCCGCAGCTCCCAGCATCATCATCTGTGCCCCAGGGCGACGCCCACAAGAAGAAATGCAAGGAGAAGCATAAAAGCAAGAAGGAGGCCAAGAAGAAGGTAGACTGCAAACCGGACAGCTGACCGCCCCCCCCCCCCTCTGCTGCCTTCCGGGGTCCGGCTGCTGTAACGATCCCCCCCCTTATCTACTCTCTCCTCTGGTTTTCAGCACAAGAAGAAGCACAAGAAGCACAAGGGCAAGAAGGAGAAGAAGAAGGAGAAGAAGAAGAAGCCGATCCCCGAGGAGTCTGACAGCACCTCCGATGGCTCTGCGGACAGTGACAGTGACGCAGATGACCTCCCTGGAAGCATCTCCACAGAACAGCTGTTGACAAGGTGAGCTTAAGCCCGCCCCCCATCACGTTCTCTTTTCTTATTCATGTCCTAGTTCTCCAAACAGCTCAGCTTCAATCGGCATGACTATAGTAACAAGAGTAACGTATTGACATGGCTGTTTCCCTCTTATGCAGGCTGAAGAGTCTCCGTGGGAAAAAATATGAGTGACCCTGCAGTAAGCGTCCAAAGAGAGCCCGTGTCCTCTATGAGGACAGTGACCCGCGCTGGTTGCTATGGCACACTGTGCTAAATGTAGCGTCTGGATCACCCCCGATGCGGCCTGCTTTGAGAGCGGCCTGCTTTGAGAGCGGCCTGCTTCCTGTATGTGGGGGAGCTGCGCTGCTGGCTGACTTTGCCAGCCTATTAAAGGGCCGCTGACCCTTCTGGAAGATTTTTTTGGTTGGTTGATTTATTTGATTTAAATGTGATTGCAAACTGGCATCTGAAGAAACAAAACTTTTATTAAATAAAATACTCCTTGTATTTTGAAAATATTTCTAATTGCTTTATTGTTTCTCTAAATTACATGTACTTTGTGGTTTTGTATGAGTGGGTATGCCTTGCAGTAGACCATCATGCACAGCAGGAGCTAAGCTAGAATCTTACATCCGGGACACATTTGAACAATTTTTTGGGGCTTGTTCAGATTCCTAGTGAGGCCTCTGATCTGAGATTTTAAGTTATGTAACTTCATTACTGGGTAAATGCTTTATTGTTCAAAGATAAGTTATGGAGACTCATCTTTTCTCTTGGTACGTCGGCATTAAGCTGCATGTATTTTTTTTTAGAGTGAATAAGACGTATATTATACTTTGTTCTTTTCTCATTCTTGGTAGCAATCATTTATGATTCTGGTTTCTGTTTAATACTAGATATTATACAGGGAAGATACTGTAAATAGCTGAAGTGCATGAGAAGGCAATAATCCACTTATGGCAAATGGTAACAAAGTCCGATGATTAATCACCCTAGAAATGAGAAACGCTGAAGGGGACCGCCTTTCGGTTGGAGTGTTCGATCTGCTACTAATTACCCGGACGGCAATTTCACACACAAAAATCTGTGTTAAAGCAGCAATCCTCTGCATTTAGACGACAATGTTGGTGTGAACAAGCCAAGCAAGGCGACTGTGAGGGAACATCGGTACAAGCGATTGTGTGAAAGTGAAGACACATTTAGCTGTCTTCCAAAATAACAATTCAAACAGATGGGTTACACATTAATATGTCTCAGGTTTCCTAATTGTTTTCGCGTCTTGTTAGATAAGCTTTAGTCTAGCATCCAAAGAAAAGTGCACGTGGATTTTTGCCAGGACTCCATTGTCAGTTGCCAAAATTCTTTTTTGAGTTTGTAATCTTTCACCCCTGAGTTTGTTGAAAGCTTGTTTGTGCTTTATTAATAGTTTGTTAAAACCTTGTTAAAAGAACCTTGGATCATGTTTTAATATACAGCTTGGCAAAGTAATATTCCTCCTCTTTTTCCTGCTGATTCCCATCGTAGTGTTTAGGGGCCATGCTGATGCAATCAGCCAACGCTGCTTCTGTTTCGGATGCACTAGGATGTGTTCAAGTTCCCACGATAATACAATGCGCTGGGTATTCCTGACAGGCCACCAGAACCGAACACTCATAATGTAACTGCACATTTCGCAGTGTTTCTCCTGTTTAGTGTTTGATATCAAAAAAATACTATCTGTATTAAGACACAGACCACAGCTTATTGATTACATTTCTGTGGAGGATTCTGAGCTCATTTTTACCGGCAATCGTGGCTGATATCTGCCTGCGTTAAGAGCAGTGCAGTTCGTCTATTTCCAAGATAAAAGTGTGGTTCCTGAACCTTCAGGTAATGAGTAGATCAGGCAAGGCCCACTTTTCCACCATTAATTGCCTTATGAATAAGTCAGATGGCTTGAAAATGTGTCGACTCTGGTTGGATCATGTGACTTCTGTGTTTAAGGCAGAAAAGTATTGTCCTTGCATACTTAATACAGCTTAATTGTTTTTAAACAACCAATAATGGGGAAAAAAATCTACACATCATCACCCAACAGGTGCAGGAAGGAAGACGATATTAGGGGATTATTTCTGTGTAAGCAACTTGAGTTCCATAAAATAGATTAACATCGATGTTAGTAGTTTTAGCACGTCTGTGCTGCGATGGCAGACTTTCGTATTCAAATCTAATATGCAGTAAATTAAGAAAACAGCTTTCTCTTCCAAAAGCTAGAAATATCTGGTATTATGAAAGCTAGTTCCTGCAAGGCTGTGTTCTCTGCAGTCAATGTCTGTTGCCAGGCAACCTGGTAACAAAGGCTGTCCCTAGATAGAGGGACAATGGCTTTCATAGAATCAAAACTATAAGGTTACCCGAAAGCATTTGGCACTTGAAGGATCATCGAAAATATGTTATCTTCAACTCCGCTAGGAAAACATTTGCTTAAACACGGGCAGTCTTCCAAAAGATCAGCGATATAGCTTTAGGTTTTTTGCTAAATGGTTATACGGCAGTTCATCACTGTCAAGCAACGCACATTTTGGAGTAGACTTCTGCTATTTGATGCTGGGACTATATTTGTTAGATATGTATAGATATTTTACCACTGAAAACATGTAACTATGCAAACATTGTGACATATAAAGTTATTTTCTCATGGGATATTCATTGTATCCTGGGACAAAACCCTGATTGCATGGGACACTGAAAGCAGCAAAATTCTCATGAGTCATTTTCAGTTTCCTTTGTAATATTGTAACATTTCAGCTTCCAGCAAAAGAACTGCAGAACCAGATTAAATTCCTGGCTCGCTGTGTGTGTCGCCTGCTTTTATTCCAAGCTGTTCCTCTGGTTTAATTGGTCCAATTTGTAGTTAATTATGCAGATCATTTATACAACAGATTTCCCCTGGAATACTGTAATAAAACTGCTATTTCCTGAGAGTGCTGCAAAACAGTCATAGGCTTCCAGTGTACTTCATGTATCAAAATTATCTAACGAGCTAATTAAATAACTTATGGAGCGATGTTGTCTCCTTGGAAGCTAATACTCACACTTCAGAACTGAAGACTGGAGGTTCTTCTGAGTATTTCAGTCCCAGTGGCAGGAGGTCCTTTAGTGTCTTGTGCTGCTGGGACAGTCAGGTTCTGGATGTGTGTTTTGCTGCAGTGTCCAGCAGCCCAAGGTGGCTCACTCACCTCCTGCAGCATCTCATTGAGGGGGGAGCTGGCAGCGTCGTCCACCAACACTGAGAATGCCATCTACCTCACCTGTACTGACACAGCACAAACAGCTCATCACATTCAGGGTAGGATGCAAAGACATTCAACTTACAGGAAAAAGATGCAGTGTGAGGTACAAATTTATCATTGTAAACTACATATTTTTTCTAATAACTAGAGATGGTTGTCATGAACGATTAGTATCAGTGTTATTATTGTTATCGTCTGTACTTTTGTACAATGTATTACAATGTTGCAAAGTATTACAATACCAATTATTGTCTTGCAGTTTTTATTGTTTACTACTGTTTCCTATATTCTTGTATCCTATATTGTGTATTCTGTACATTGTATTGCTTCTTTTGTTTTTATTTGTTGTCTGTTTTTATGATTAATCCCTGCAGCTTTCATCTGGTACCAGTATTCCAGGGAAATTACCCACTGTTCTCATAGTTTTTTTGTAGGATTACAATAAATGAAAATAAATCTTTCGTAAAAATTGAGTGAATATCCTTTAAAATTATATTGATTGATCCATGTAATTATTTCATTACTTTCACCAAAATTAACTCCAAATGCGTACTTTCATGATCACAATTAAACAAACAGTACTTGTGGGTTGTGTGATGTCAAAAAATATTATGTGGTATATTTATTCCACCAGATATTTGACGCTATTATTTAATGATATTTTAAAATGAATACAAAAGTGCAATGCAATTTAAATGTAAAATAAAATGCTTTACACAAACCTTAAAAACAGTAGAAGGGTTCAATGTGGGAGATAAATATCTCATTGATGGTTGTGCCGCAGACCATTACAATCTGATTATCACGAGATGCTAGTCTGATCCCCAAAGTGAGTGTGTTTGCAACATTAAAGCCATTTGTCAAAAAACTTTGCCATCTATATTGCATTGTTGTAAGTGTGATGTTAATCTTCCATAAAATTTTAATACCGTCATTTTATTCTATTCTGTCATGCCACGTGTCCTGTTATTTTATTGTACGGTCGTTATTCCTGCAATAGATTGTTTTTTTTATCACAGAGTTCCGCAACCCAATTGAATAAGCAGTTGTTGAAAATGGAGTGATAGATGGATACTACTATGGCACAAGAATTATTTAATAGAAAGTTGTAGCAAGTGTATCTTTCCATGCCAGGTTTTCAGTTATATAACAGAGCTGTCTCACCAGAATGTCCGTGCGAGCCGAGATCAAGTGCAATCTTATGAAAATTACTGCTCACATGTTACTGAAAATATTCAACTGCTACTGAACCATTATGGAAAACCCCTCTATTGTCATGAGAAAAGACCGGAGGAAAACGCAGCTGGGTGTCTGCTTTTCTGATCTCATTCCTTTTTTAAGCACTGAAGCAGCGTGTCACAGATTTGGTATCCTGTTAATCTGCTTGTTATGAATTCTCCCTCCATTGGTTTTATAAGCCCTGTAAAGAGAAACCGGAGGGATCCGGTGACGTTCTAAAGGCCTGGTCTACATTCAGTGCATTTATGGTTCCCTGGGGTTTAATCTGGATCCAGGCAGCACAGGCAGACTGAAGGATCGCAGCAGGAGAGCCTGATCTTTGACCAAGGGGGCTTGGCCTCCCATGGTTTTCAGGGATTTGAGCTACGTCCTATGGTCCAGCACCAATGGATCACACATGTTTCGGAGAGTATAACACAGACGTCCCCTTTAAATGGGATTTCTGCCTTTGATGGGAGATTACCTAGAACGTCAGCCACAGCTACCCACTGCAGCTTTGTACCGCGCTCTATATCTGTCCCAGTGTCAGGAACATTTCATCCATGATCTTATTCTACAGGAGCACAGCATCATGGAATCTCTCACTACCTGCATTACCATTTAGGGCAGTGTTTCCCAACCCGGTCCTGTGGGACCCACAGCCGGTTCATGTTTTTGCTCCCTCTGAGCCCCCTGCCAGACAGTCCACATATTTTGCTCCCTCCCAGCTCCCTACCTGAGCAAAAACATGAACTGTCTTTGGGTGCCTGAGGACCAGATTGGGAAACACCGATTTAGCGTATCATCACATTACAAAAATCTGTGGGGTAATTCAGTGGGTAAAACAAAATTCAACCAAAGCTGTAACAAAACATTGATAAATATGATCAAATAAATAGGAACAGAGCAAAAATATATCCTAACCATGGCCTGGGATTCTGGCTGGGATTCTTTACTCGTGGTTTCTGTGGCATGGGGGCTGAAGATCAGTTGGCATGACGATGTGGAATCACCGTAAGCCAGGCACA